AAATTTAATGAAAATTTAATATTGAATAGCATTGAATACAACGTTTTACAAATTAAATTTCAACGTTGAAGCAAGGTAAATACTACGTTGGGCCAACGTATAAAATGAATTGTTAAATCAACGTAGAAAATATAATTATTTTCCGACTTTAGAAAACGTTTTATTCACATCGGTTTTTAGTTGTTGGCGACACCGCATTGGTAACTATAATGATAGAAAAACAACGTTGGCAGCTGATGTTGGGTTACAGTAAAACGGGGTGAATAGAAACAGTGGGGTGAATAGAAACAAAACTTTATTTTTGTATATATAATCTATTTACTACATAACTATGAGTAAATAATGGCAACTAATACTTTTTTCAGGTTGCTACCTTTTAGCCTGAAAGTGAAATAATGGTTTGCTTATTTAGCTGCATTGGTTATTGTTTGTTTTTAATGTTGAACTTTATTGCGCAATTCTTGTTTTTTCTTATTCACTTTGAACTTTTCAGGTAAGTCGGAATATTCAGTGTTCTTGAAAGTAAATAGCTTTCCAAAACATAGTTTAATTATTCATATAAAAGAGTTTAGCTAACTTTAAGCTTTAACTGTAACAATATTATTTTAACAATTATTTGAATTTTTTAGGTTAGGTTTTCAGAATTGACGGGTTGAACAGAAACATATAATTTCTAGTGTTTCTTTACACCCCGCAATAAAAAAGTAATTTTAAATCACGTTTATACTGTACAAAATACATACTGTATGCTATATATTCATGTTAGACACTTAACTGAAACAGCTGTTTTATTTCAGAACCCTGTAAAATGCCAAGGAAGTACAAACACGTGGTTGGAGGTGGCTACAAAAAGCACGATCCAAAAACAATCGAAAGAGCAATTTCTGACATACAGAATGGATTAGGCCTTCGAAAGTCTCCTGAAAAATATGGTTTGCATTACAGTGTTTTTTATCGACACTTGAAAAGAGGTCCAAATTTGAAAAAACATGGTGGTCAGACAGCATTATCTCTTGAAGTAGAACAGCTGTTTGTTGATAGGCTTAAGATATGTGGCAAATGGGGTTATCCCATTGAAACTACAACTCTACGACTCCTTGTAAAAGACTTTTTAGACCGATGAGGGAAAGAAGTTAAGAGGTTTAAAGATAAACTCCCCAGCCGTGACTGTGTGGAATCATTTATAAAACGTCATAAGGAACAACTGGCCGTGAGAATGTGTCCGAATATTAAACGCTCGAGGGCTGGTGTAACACCAGAAACAATTAACCACTATTTTGATGAACTGACAAATGAATTAAAGGATGTGCCTTTATCTAATATCGTTAACTACGATGAGACGAATCTAAGTGATGACCCTGGTAAGCGAAAGGTCATTATACGTATAGGGACAAAATATCCAGAAAGAGTCATAAACTCATCAAAGTCATCTACGTCTGTGTTGTTTGCAGCCGCTGCTGATGGCACTTTTTTACCACCTTACGTTGTGTATAAGGCTATGCACTTGTACCAAAGCTGGACAGAAGGTGGGCCAAAAAACGCCAGGTACAATCGAATAAAGTCTAGCTGGTTCGATTCCTTTTGCTTTAAAGATTGGATACTGACAGTTGCTCTTCCGTACCTGAAAAATAAAACGGGTCGAAAAATTCTGATTGGGGACAGTTTGTCTTCCCACTTATCAATGGGATCTGTGAAGTTGTGTAAAGACAATGATATCAGTTTTATTTTTCTCCCAGCTAACTCCACCCATCTCACACAACCTCTAGACGTAGCCTTTTTTCGCCCATTGAAATCAACATGGCGGCAGATTCTCAAAGTAGTTGTAGTTTCAAGTATGCACATTTTCATACCAAAGTTGAAAATTGTTTCTATTTACCCCGTTTTACGGTAACGAAATGCGCGACATTGTTCTAATGTTTTAACAATGTATGTGTGCTATCTGGGTAGTTTCACTGTTTTTAATAACATCATCCCAATCACGTTTTTATAAGTCAGATCTAAATATTTTTTTTATCAAAGTTTTTAAAATTTCTACGTTTTCAAAGTTTTTAGAATTCCTACGTTTTCAAAGTTTTTAAAATTTTTATATTATTGAAAAGATTTATTTCCTTTCAAGGGTGCCTATAAATGTACCGACAATTAAATTAGATTTTTTGGAAAACGTTAATTCAACAAAAGTGGGTTCTAAAAAACTAGGTGAATAAATCATCAAATCATTTCTTCATTTGTAAATTAACTTTTATACTACAAGGACATTTAATTTTATGATGCTCTATCGCAAATTGTTTCAATTTTGCTTCAAAAACATTTTTTTGATGTTGTTAGTTCTTGTTTCTAAATTGCGGTGATTAAGGGATCAAAAATACCCCAAAAAGTTAGCCCCACTTCAACCTAAATATGAGGTCAATGAGTCAAAAAATAGATTTTTGATGTTATCTTATACTTAACTTAATTTTTTTGATAGGTTTTTTTGACAGCTTTCATTGAATAATAATTTAAATTCTGAAAGTTTTGATTATATAAAGTTTACAACCTATAACTACAACTGCTACAACTTCTATTTTGTTATTTTCATTGTATAGATGTTATAGTATTTTTAAAAACTTTTTTGAATAAAATAACAATTATGTAAGATATTCAATGTAAATCATTTAAATTATTATTAGAATTAAAGAATGAGAATAAGAAAGAGAGGATTAGATCCTGTTGACAGTCGTAGTCGTTGTTCTAGTTCTCTTAAGCCCTAAAAAAGCCGATAATAACAAAAAAGAAATTGAAACCTAAATTTATCAACTAACATAACTTCAAACAACTGTATTTTAAACTATAAAACAAAAATAAATGTACACTTCACTTCCCTCGTAGCTATTCAAATCAATCGATGTACTTGGCTAAGCTGCAACAATGGTCATATTAGTCGATCTACTCATGACATTGATTATAATTATTATTTTTTTAAACATAAAAAAGTATAAATAATAAAAAAAAATTAATAAAACAACATTTATTTTTAAAACATATAAAGAAAAAATTAAAATAAAACATTATTATACAAAAAATTGTTCTTTTTATGCAATTTGAACCCTCAACTTTTCTAGCTGAGCCTTAAAGTATAAAAGTATAATTATTCGAGGATATGCGGCAATATATTAATTATAAAAAAAAAATAAAAAATAGTTAACACATTTCTTTAGTTACAAAAAAAGCATACACAAATTTGTTTGGGCTTTTTTGTACGCGCGAACTGATAATGCCTTTCAAAGTAATATTAAATTATAATAAAGAAAGTTTATATATATTAAAATTTATACCATTATTTATTTTTTTTTATAACTTTGAAAATCACAAAAACTGGATCAATTAATAAAATGGACAAAATAACACTAATATGAACATCTGGTGGATTTATTTATTTTATTACTATCAAGTTATTATTTATTTTTATCATCAAAACAAATAATAAGTATTTAGAACTTGAAATAATAAAAAATACTAAAAAAGTAAAAAACAA